CCCAGGTTGACAGGCCGGCTGATGAAGACCCCAGTCACACCAAACATGTCTAAAGTCGAAAAAGGAATCAGTGATAAAGCTAGGACGTCACCCGGAAGTGGCGCGCAGAACCCCCGCCCGAGTTCTGTGGTCAGTATGCGAGGGCTACCGAGGAGTGAACGGCCTCGGCCAAAGAAGCTAGTTCGAATTGGGACTCTGAACGTAGGATCGCTAACTGGGAAGTCCCGAGAGGTTGCTGATCTGATGACGCGCAGAATATCCAAGTCCTATGCCTTCAGGAGACGCGATGGAAAGGTGCTAAGGCCAGGGAAATCGGGGAAGGTGTCAAACTCTACTACAATGGAGAAGACACCAAGCGGAACGGTGTGGCCATAGCGGTAGCGGAGTCGCTCAAGGACTATGTCTCCGCTGTGAACAGGATCAGCGATCGGATCATGGCTGTGAGGATAGACACGAAGGAGGGGTACTGGTCAATACTCTCCGTGTACGCACCGCAGACCGGATGCCCCGAGAGTGAGAAGGACGAGTTCTATCTGAGCCTTGACGAGCCATCAGATCGATTCCGGAAGGCGATTACCTGACCATAGCAGGTGATCTGAATGGGCACGTCGTCGGCAGTGACAGAAGAGGCCTGGAAAGGGTGCACGGAGGTAGAGGAATAGGAGTGAGGAACGAAGGAGAGAGGGTTCTGGACCTGGCTACAGCCCACGATCTGACAATCACAAGTGCCCCATCCATACTGCAAGGTGTTCTCCAATCCCGCCGTCACTTCTGCTTGATGGTTATGGTTTAATGGAGACTGCTCATGATTCCACTTGTTTCATATCCAGTGTTTCAATTGTTCAAATGGGGCACTTGCAATTTTTGTGATTGGTTTGGTTTGATTCCTGAAAAAAATAGGAACGATTCAAGAGCATTTCAATGAACTAATAGACATTGAACATGAAACAAGTAGAACCACAAACATTCGTCTTCCAATCTTTACTGCCAAGCAGAATTCGCAGCAGGATTAAACAACACCTCGCAGTATTCATCGGGCACTTCCAACTCCTGTGATCCATCGCAGGTTTCGCGCGAAAATCGTAATACAGAATGCTGATACGAATTTACACGAACGCTATATAACCTTGAAGCACCACCCCCAGGAGAGTGTTGCGAGTGTTCAGTGGGTGGAATAGAGCATCTCGAGAATTCAATTATATCACACAATTCAGCACTTCATCATGGGATGGAGGAAGAAAACGCGGAAAAACGCTTTGGAGATGCTACAGTTTGATATCTCGTGAGAATCTGAACAACAAGCCCTTAGTGGGTAGAATTCCTTTGGCTTTTATGCAGGGGGCTCGCTCGATTTCGTGCTAATCAACAGATACTGAAATACCTTCGATATCGTACCTGGTAAAGAATCAGAGGCCAGGGTGTGAATAACGGTCGAGGAAATCCTCGACCATAGCTCTCTACCATGCGAGAGTAGTGCCGAGAGTGAACATCCGCGCGGAGGGCACAGACGGCACGGCATGGCGAGTGTGAATGTCCGCGCGAGAGATCGTCTCTGATCGGGCAGAGAATCCTCGACGTGCCGTTGAGGAATCCTCAAGCGATATTCACCCTGATCAGAGGCCCTATATCAATGTCGAATTCTGCGAAGAAGATCGCGTTGATTTTGGGAACGTCAGCGAAGCGACATGACCAAATAACCCTTCCAACGGCAACGATCCATTTTCGCAAGGGTTAGATTCTGAAGTAGAACGGAACAGACTACACTATTACACTTGAAAAGCTCTGAATGCCAACCAACCTATGGCAACGTTTCTCTGCGGAAACGACGCAAAAACAACTGAAGTTCAGCTGCAGCTATTCCAACCCCAGCCACAACCAGACCCCGCGAAATTCGGAACTGGGTAGCGCTGAAACCATCGGTCTATAAATACATGTTTCCTGAAATCCTGAGATAAGTAAATTTCCAAGGTATTGCTGAGAGATAAAGGTTTCATTACAGGTCGTCGCCTGCGCGAACGGCGGCAGGTGAGGGCGTACCACCGAGCCATGGCGCGATTATGCGCACTGACGGCCGCTTAAACACAATTTTACTGTCCAATAGTCGTGTAAAAATGCCGCTACTCTGGCACACTCACCAAAGTGTAGATTTGGATACGGAAAGGGTCAAACGAGTGGGTGCTGTCCGGAAAAGAGATGCGTGCATTTGAAACAGCCTTAACCAGGAAAGCTAGGTCTGACATCTAAAATGAGGTGCACGCCGTAGCATTCGCTCCGATTCGCTGCGCTCACTAATGCTTCCCATATCCGCTAAACGACCGAGTCTGGACGGAGTTACAAAGCGGAGGTGCGCAGTGGTGCGGGCTCGCTCACGGGCAGGAGGTCAATGGATCGATCCCCAAACAGGTTTACTCTTTTGTTCTTTTCGATAACATAGCTAAAAAGGTTTCGGGATCATTTCTGCGTCAACAGCAGCCTACTTATGCCTGTGTGAAAAGAGCGGTATGGAGCTTTTTCGTTGAGGAAAGGTGCAAAACATTTTGGCGAAAAAACCTCGGTAACCTCGCCCAGGATATCGTTTTACAGATTAGGAAGCAGTTTTAATCTCACTGTCCCTGGCGAATGCAGCTACACTACACCCCACTGCAGATGGTGGGACCGACCTGCTGACCATTACCTTGTAAGAGTTTTCTCGCATCATCGGCATTAATATTACTGGTGCCCAGAATATGAAAATCTTGGTTTTCAAAGAACGGGAATCCCCGCATTCCTTCGAGAGACATCAAACTATTATGATCCCTGAATTAAGAAGATGCCAGAAGCAAGATTCAATAAGTGTCAAGACAGAGGATACCCCACTCAGTTAAAAAAATTGGCAATAAGAGCTCCATAAAACTCACAAAGATCCAATGATATAGATGATAAGTAGAAAAGCACCATACCTGCCACGATGAGCTACCAGCTGCTTATGGGTGGCACACCTGTAACAGGTGCCCTCAACGCTAAAAGTCATGTGAATGAGTATTTTTGGAGTAGAGTAGGATTGCTGAGTATTTAGCGGCCTTCACATGTTACAGTGGATTGAAACTTGACTGATTGATTACACCAGCTAGTCACGGTCGAGACATTGAGCATGACGTGAACGCAACCTTTTTGTACCAGAATCAAGAAAGTAGCATGGTGAAAGGGTCACTATGCTTTCCTCACTAGTGAGAACCTGACTGGATAAAAAAAAACTTGGATGGAAGTACAAATTCCAGACGATGAATTTATGACTCCGACACCACAGTTTTCTTTTCGGAAGTGGCTTCAAATCAAATACTACTTCCATCTTCAGAGAAGTTCTAGAGAGAAAGAGGTGAGAAACGAAAAGCACAATGATGAAGCCGCCGATGTGTATACTACGTGGAACGGTTGATAGAGGTAAATTTCTAAATCATCACTAAACAACCTACCTCCCTTCCAACAGAAACTCTCGGATATGGCTATCACTTCTGTAAAAGAGAGAAAGGGGAAGACCAGTGAGAAGCGCCAACCAAACAGAGAGCACAGTAGTCGAGACAATCCACTGAACACAGGTGCCCCCAAGAGAACACAGATAACGTGGAAGAAGGCAAACAGTTGCAGCTGACTTAGGATGATTCCCGATAGGCTCTGCATAGAGACAGACCTACGGAGGCAATCCACCTATAAGTATCTTTGAAAAACAATCAAAACGTCAGTCTGTAGAAGTACCGAAAAGTATTTTGAACGAGCATAACGCACTGCTTTGTAACGCCAAAGGTGGTTTAGACAAAAATTTATGCAAACTCAAAAATAACTTCCATCAAAACAAATTATATATTAATGAACAAGAAAAGCGGTAAAGAACTCGAGCCAAGTTGTCTCAGATATTCACATTCCATCACAATTTATAACATCCTATTCCAAAAAAAAGAACGTTTAGCCGGAACACTGTCTAAAATTTAATTTCATCTACGAAACAACTCACTTGACAGAACACACGATCACGATCACGATCGCCGAAAGGCAAACCGAGGTTGTTTTACAGTTGTTCGCTTTTCCAAAGATTACTTAAACGTTTCAGCAGCAAGAACACAGTAACTTCTACTGTAACACTCCCTGCGTACACCATTAACAATCATCAGCTTCAGTTTTTTCACTAGCAGAAACTAAGCTTCTCAAAAATGCGCTGAAGGTACAGTCGGCCTCAGAGGTGCTGCTTTGTATGCTCAACTATCCATCAAATCTGTACTTATTCCATATGAAGAACGTGGAGCGAAAATTGCATTACTTTTGAAACTTTTCCCGCAAGGTAGATGCGCATGTAAACGACGAACTCATTTAGATGAAGTGCCGATCAAACCATGAGTTCAACGATGGCAGTGGAGTGGAACGGGAAGGTGGGGCGGGGGAAGGGGGGGGGCATGGAAAAGACGAAGCGAAGGTCCACAAAAAAATAAGGAATTCTGGAGGGCAGACCTATGCTGTCTCGATGTAACTGCGCACAATTTACTATTAAATATTCGCCAGACTCAAATTGTTGAAGGTGTGGTACGAAATCGTTGCTGAAGCTGAAAGTAGAGGCGGTAAAGTGTGCAAAGGGAATCCGAGAGAAAACGACTTCAGACCCGAGGAATGGGACCCCCTTTCCTCGCTGATTTCCGCTCTGGACAAGCCAGAGACCAAGACTCGGCTCTTTACACGTCTGACCCGAATACCCGGTATCATACCAATAAATATGATACTTTCTTAGATAACGCACAGCCTAGAACAACTAAAAGGTGCTGGCGCTTAGCATCAAATGCTCCATCAAAATAAAAAGCAAGGAAAGGCGGAGCATTCGGCGCCGGCCAGCGAACGATTTCAAAAAAGGGCAAAACAATTCCTCGGGGAAAAAAGGACCAAATCACATAAGCATGACAAGTCCCAAAAGAAAACAGGAAGAAAAAGTCAGAATTCAACGCAGCACAATGAACTAACTTCTAACGAAAAGAGCATTGTTAAAGTTTGTGAGAAGGCCATAGATTCCTGGCTGAGAAGTACACCACGGAAACTGCTGCCTTTTCTAATGATGCTGAACCATCGCCACGTTCTCGTCGGCATGAATCACACGGCGCTTCATGTTCAGCAAACCTTAACCTTTTTGACATTGAACGGTAACCAAGCAACGATAATTGCGATATTCAGAATAGCAACTTTGAATTGACTTGAAAAGTATGAATAAATACAGACTCAGACAAAAAACCAAAAGGCGCTCGAACTTCAAAGTGTGAGCTATAATTCTCGTACCTTTCATGACGACCCTTTGTTAAGTCGTGTGCTTCCGTTATCTGGACGGTGTTTGCCTTACTCAACTTCGATCCAGTCTGTGAACGAATAACCATCATTGACATGCCCATAGTGCTAATCTGAATGAGCTACTGCTCAAGAACCCGAAAAGTCTTATAAACGACAATTATTTACCTGCACCAATTTGAACGGGATAAAACTTTCTACGAAAAGAAGACTTGGCACAGTATTTCACATCGTGGTCTTAGAAAAATGACTCTGAAAGCGAAATGTAACTTGAACCGTCAGCAAGGAAAAGTTTATTTCGCAGAAGAAATTACGCACCTCCACGTGGAGAATTTGAGCTAACCTCGAAGTCAGGAATGCATCGTCTAACATGCTGACTTCTTCAATATAATCATAAATGTCGCTTGAACATGGAGCTGAACATGACGACGGAAGACTCAAAAGGGAATGAAACCAGAACAAAGAACTAACCCAGCATCATCAAGTTCGCGCTTTCACCTGTCGTGCCAGCATCTCGTCTCGATTATCCATCAATTTCACAGTAATGATACAAGTTGAAATCTCAAAGACTTCTTATAGGAAGCATTGAAACAATTTAGATGGGGACAACTCACAGCTTTTACAGCATTAATTATTTCCTTGATTCGTGGCACTCCAAGTATGACGTTCATGGTGGCGACACCAGCGAAGTGAAATGTCTTCAAGGTCATTTGCGTAGACGGCTCGCCTGAGAAGGACACTATCCAAAGTCTACTTATCACCCTATTTGACCTAATAAAACTCACCTGTAATAGTGGCTTTAGTGACAGCGATAGCGCTACGGCCGTTCCTGGCTCTACGACAGAATTCCTTAACTGGAAACAGCAAGCTTCGAGAAGATGATACGCAATGAGCATGCTTCTGAGCGCTCCTGACCAAAAGAACTACGGATAGAGCTAGGTAAAAAGATAATGTAGAAAACGAGTGATCGACTTACCTATGCTTCCGCTGAATGAGACACTGGCACACATACACTGGCAATTCGGAGGGATTCTAAAAGCACACAATGATACTTCAGTAACGGTCTATCTGATGAATTAAATATAAGGGTGTAATACTGCACAAGGCAAAATCCTAGAGGAGGCGGAAGGTCACTGGAACGAAACTCTCTGTACAAATATGTGAGGATACAGTCACACTTTGCAACTGTCTCATAGTTCTTTTACACTTTGAGTGCGGAATAGTTAAGCCGATGCCATAGTTTGCGAGTCGAGCTCGCAAACCTTGACATCGGCCTTACTGGATCTTGCGGTCACCGATCGATATGCATTCACTCCACACTGAAATTGTAAGACGGTGGCAACTAAGAAGCGAAGAAGAGAATAGATACCATATCCTGATATCCTGAAGTGTTTTGTTTTTTGAAGGAATGAAGGAACGGCATAGGTCGTCACAAGGAGAATGACATATGTCACGACAAAGACCACAATAACTGGTTTCCACAAGTAATTGTGCCATTCAAATGAGTCCACGGTTTGAATGGAAGTCGCCGGGTACAGCGCATACCAGAATGTAGTCAGTCAACACTGAGCCCTTCATTTCCCATGAATGCCAATTATGAGTGGGACGTGTGCTATAAGATTATCCCAGGGTTCCTGGCGGAACTATGTACGATGACATCAAGGGAGGGATCACTCTCAGATTGGAAAACCAATTTCTCTATATATGAGTGAATCCAATAACTCGCCTGCTATATCGATCTGGAAATGCTGGTTCATAGGTTACTGTCTCCGTGTACGGGCTTACAGGCCGACCATCGTGAACGGACACCCAGCGCGACTTTTTTATTATCTGAAAGTGTTTTGGAATCGGAACTTGTATATTCTAAATACTAAAGAAACGTCAACAGGTCGTTCCGACACTCACAAAAGATGCATACCGACATGCTCGCCTCGGGCGCTAAGCTTAAATCTGTTTTTGAAATGTGCGGAACTGTATATAGGAGAGGAGTTGACCTCGTTGACCTATTAAGGTTTCAATCCCGCCGCGGCTGGTCAGTGCACGCCCACCGATCATCTGATCACTCGCCGCAGGTCTATACGTGGCGAGTGATTAGATAGGTGAGAGAGCGTAGTGTTGAAGAGGGCACAGCGATGAGAGTCGCATCAATGCTCAAATCAACGGGCAAGGAAGGGGTCCCATTTCTCGGGTTCTGGGCCGTTTCTCATGGTTCTTCCTTCTTTCGTGTACCACTCACCATCCCTAGGTTAATTTGAAAAATAAGAAATTTTTTGAAAAATACCGTTTATGAATTCCAATGTGCGTCATGTTTGGAGGTTTATGTGGGAGAAACTGGACGCCCTCTTTTCAAAAGGCTTGACGAACATTCAAGGGCACTCCGGAATCCCAGCAGTTATCCGGACAATCCCTTCTCGAAGCATCGTTCTGTGCGCCATACGAATGAGCGCCCACCGGAAATCCAAGTCCGTGTGATTCACAGAAACGTTGGTGACCCGGTAGAAAGGAAGATAAAGGAGGCATTGGAAATACGAAGGAGAAATCCGCAAATCAACAACAGGGAAGAACTGCGAAGAGCCATGGAGCTAATTGGCACATAGTGAGATGAAGGAATGAAGGCTACGTGACAATACTGAAATGCAGGGTATCCAATACCATTACCCTCACCCTTGCTTTTCCTGTCTAGTAGTCCCATTTCTAAACAAGTGAGCAGCTAGAGAGGTGAGTCTCTCCTCTCACGTGCTTCATCGCACGTCAATCTCACAAGCCTTTTAGCTATTCGCCACTTTCCCGGGACCAACCCGCCCCCACTAGGCTACTACTTCATCCTAAACGGTTCTGACTACATTAATCAGGTAGTCAAATCAAATACGAAAAGCTACTAAAAGGAAATGTGACTTGCAATTCCAGAAATTGAACAAGGGCATCACATTTACTTCAGGACGGATATTCCTGCTCACCCGGTTTCGAAACACTAGCTCCTAGCGGTAAATCAACCTCTTTCTTATCTCTCTTAAGTATCGAAGTATGCTTGCCGGCATTCAAAATTTCCTACTCAATGGGTTCTTGGAGATGTTCAATGGGTTCTTGAAGATATGGGAAGGGGTTTGAAGTGTAGCGAAAGGGTGTCCACCAAAAGGTCCATCGCGCAGCGAAGGACGAGTCGCAGCGCGTGCTGTGCGAGAGACGTAGTATGGTACACTCTATTCAACCTGACGCCTAACCGCTACAGCAAGCGTTGCGACTCGTCCTTTGCCGCGCGATGGGCTTCTAAGGAGGAACCCCTAAGATACCTGCAGACATATTGGCTCATAGAATGGTCATGTATGCCTTAAATAGGAGGGAATTTCTAAACCCTACAAATCCATTAATTTAATCAATTTTCTGCTTCTTCTAATAGATATCAAGATTATAGGGGGGGAGTAAATACGGAACATGAGGGATCCCAAGGTATGCGTTCTGACCGAAAGAACCGAGGTGAATTGCTTTTGAGGGCCACTGCAGCAAGGTCTGACAAATATTGCTTCTCCATTATTATTTCACTTTACCTAGGAAGCTCCTCAGTACTAAAACTTAGCGATTTAATTCTGACTAAATCATGTTTTTTTTATTTACCACTCAAAATCCGCTTGAATTACCTGAGGCGGCCGCGCTCGCAAAATCGCGCGGTCCCTCGCTGCCAAAAACGCCAAAACAGGCGTTGTCGTCAACGTGTTAATCACTTAATCTAATAAAATATCACATGTACTAAAATACCTTTCTACACTTTTTCTTTTTCTTCAGACATGGGCAAGTCCTAGAACAACGGGGCGTCGGCGGAATAACGAAGTCTATAGGAGTGCTGAAAAGGAAGCATTTTGGAAACTCTCAATATTGCACCGAAATCCAAGAAAAAGCATTCGCTTTCTCGTTTTCTCAGCATTCTCTCTTTGAATTCAAATTTCTCCCTTGGTCTCTACTTAGATGTCGTAGTGACGGCGGCAAGCACTCGCTGTCGTAGGGTATACATAGCAAGCGTCACTACTGGTCTGTGCAACTTTACCTTTTGTGCCCAAAGAATGCCAGACAGGAGATACCATAGAACAAACTCTGTCCACTTCATCACGCCATGTTTATCATGACCATGATACCCTGGTCCACGACGCTGTCAGTGGGTAATTCACTACGCAGTGTCGGAACTCAGTTGTTCTCCTCATGAATTTCCAATGATTTCAGCTCCGCAATTGGTTCTATACGTTTCGGAACTCAAGTACATTCTCACTTTTCATTTTCTGACCAGGGCGACTCTGACCACTCACAGTCCCAGTTATTCAGTGGAAACAAGTCAAGAATGCTTACATGCTTACATAATATTAGGTTGTCTCATAAATAGTGTCGCTTTTTTTCAACCAAAAAATTTTGATCTAAATCCCCATGCTTTTACAGAGAGTTATATACCATTCAAAAGAGAATTGTCTGCTCTACAAAATATCGTGTTCTTCTTCCATCTCTGTTCAATGGTTTTCAAATGGTTTTCAAATTTGAGGCATGCGAAATGGGAGGTCCCGCCGACAAAAATTGACCAAACCGACAACTAGCTCTAACTTTTATGTTCCCTTCGGAGAGAAATCAATCAATGATGTACCCTCTACTTATGCATGACCTCTTCTAAACATTACACTATTAGGTTTCCCAACAAGTCGCATCATTCCATTTCCAGACCCCGGTTTTTCAACCAGAACTCGACGGTTGAGCACCATTACCTGAGATCGAGGTCGAAATTTTTTTACAGCCGAGACATTGAAAAACTAGTAGAATTTCAAGAACAAGTCGTGACTAAGTTAGGAATGTACGCCTGGTTGGTTTTCTCATCTCCTCAAGGATAATTTCTTTCAAAGAAATGCGGTCACTTTTGTGGACAAAGCACCTTACTCCTAAACCCTAAAATTCGAGCTAATTCCTAACAAACATCAAAACAAAACAAATGAGCGAATAAAGCAGAAGAAGTGCTCACAAAAGATATACCAGTTGATATAAAACAATAGCGTTTCAGAGGAAGAATTTCAATTTGAAAATTGCCATGACTTATCGGTTGGCCAATTCGAAAAGAAACAGGGCAAACCTTTTTCGGCAACCTAAGGGTGGAATGTTCAGAAGAGGTCATGAGTAAGTAGAGGGTACATCATTGATTGATTTCTCCGAAGGGAACATAAAGTTAGAGCTAGTTGTCGGTTTGGTCAATTTTTGTCGGCGGGACCTCCCATTTCACAGGCTTAAAATTTGAAAACCATGGAACATAGATGGAAGAAGAACACGATATTTTGTAGAGCAGACAATTCTCTTTCGAATGGTATATGACTCGATGTAAAAGCATGAGGATTGGATGAAAATTGTTTGGTTGAAAAAAAGCGACACTATTTATGAGACAACCTAATAGTATTTATAGTGCTTTTCTTCAATCCTCTATATTATAACGCGGGGGGGTACTGTGTGTGGGTGTGTTGTCTTCGATGTGGTATGGCTATCCAGTTGTTGTGTGTTATTGTGTGTGTGTGTGTGTGTGTGTGTATGTGGGTGTGTGTGTTGTGTGTGTGTGTGTGTGTTGTGTGTGTGGTGTGTGTGTGTGTGTGTGTGTGTGTTGTGTGTGTGTGTGTTTGTGTTTGTGTGTTTTGTGTGTGTGTGTGTGTGTGTGTGTGTGTGTGTGTGTGTGTGTGTGTGTGTGTGTGTGTGTGTGTGTTGTGTGGTGTGTGTGTGTGTGTGTGTGTGTGTGTGTGTGTGTGTGTGTGTGTGTGTGTGTGTGTGTGTGTGTGTGTGTGTGTGTGTGTGTGTTGTGTGTGTGTGTGTGTGTGTGTGTGTGTGTGTGTGTGTGTGTGTGTGTGTGTGTGTGTGTGTGTGTGTGTGTGTGTGTGTGTGTGTGTGTGTGTGTGTGTGTGTGTGTGTGTGTGTGTGTGTGGTGTGTGTGTGTGTGTGTGTGTGTGTGTGTGTGTGTGTGTGTGTGTGTGTGTGTGTGTGTGTGTGTGTGTGTGTGTGTGTG